CCCCCCGAGCGCAGCACAAACAAACACACCCACAAACTTCAGACCGATTCATTGATTGATTATTGTTTATTCAGTCATCAAAATTGTTCAGCAACAAATCAAAACATTACAAAACAGTACAAAAGGTAAATATTTTGACTGAAAAGGTCCAGGCAGAAGCACAAGGCTTATTTTTATGTCTGCCCTACACATCCGATTAAACTAAACTACCCCTCATAATCATTACTATAAAAAACACACAAAAAACAAAGAAAACAAACAACCCTTAACAAAACAAATACAACAACAATTTAAAGTTATTTTCACTTGTAACCCTCAAATATATATCTTTTTAGAATTGTTTTAAAAACCCTTAATGAACTACATAATCACAAGTTAAGGCTTGCATCATTCCATATTTTAATTCCTACAACAGAAAAAGACTTTTTATGTCTTTTTTAGCTTGTTTTATAAATTTAATAACGTCGCAGGTCATACTGACATCCATATATTATGAAAAATATTTGCACCCCAACAGACAACACACCTAATTTTGCTCTAAACATTATTTGCATTATTTTGTAATGAACCAAATCATAGAATTTCATGATACCAGACGTAATAAACAGAGGATTTGTGTGTTCATAGTAACCAGACTTGTTAATAACACGTATGGCTCGTTTTTGCAAAAGTACTATATCATTAATTGTTGTTTTATATGTGGAACCCCACACTTCACACAATAAGATATATGTGGGAGTATGAGTGAAGAGTAAATAATAGGCAAAGCCTTGTAATTTAATACATTTCTAGACTTATATATTGTTTTTGCTATCTTTTCCTTTGTATATTTAATGTTGCCTCCGGGGTAATTTAGAATCAATAATAACCCCTAAAAATTTAATTTCAGACACTCCTTCAATTTCAGCATCACATATTTTTATATCATGTCTCTAGTGGTTTCTTTTTGATTTCCAAACACCATGAATTTAGTTTTGTTTATATTAAGTGATATTGATATCAAACCAGGTTTTAAGATTTTCTTATTCCATTTCAATAATAGTTAATAGGTCCTTTAAATTTTTTCCAGAACAATACATATTAATGTCATCAACAAAAAAAACAAACTTTAATAAATTTGTA